ATGGTGCCCAGGGACCAAACCCAGCACCTGTGAGCAGCCCTTGAAGATCCCTCTCCAGCCCCGGGTGGGACAGATTTTTTTAAAATTCCATTTTAGCTAATCTGTTTTGTTTGTTTGGGGCCACACCAGTGATGCTCAGAGGCTGCTCCTGGTTGTGCATTCAGGGATCACTTATGGCAGCTCTTGGGGATCCTACAGGATGCTGGGGATTAAGCTGGGTCAGCTGCATGCAAGGCGAGTGCCCTCTCCGCTGTATTATCCCTCCACCCCTGGTGGGACAGATTTTTATTGGAGCACCTTTGAGAACCTTTGCTATCTATGGTGTGGGCACTGACACGAACCCACCCAAGAGAACAAGGGGGAGCGTCTTCCTCTGCTGAGGCCTTCCTGCTTTCCAGGTTTTAGAAATGACATTCTCTTAAAAAGAAAAAAAGAACATGAATTTTATGGGTTTTGGTATTTTCCTTTGGTAGTTCTGGGGCTTGTACTTAGGACCTCCACATGTCCCAAGTGTCTCCCACTGAGCTACACCCCCGACTTAGAAATCACATCCCCCTCCGGATGGGCCTGGCCTGTTCCTCAGAAAGAATTGATGCAGGAGCTGGAGCGATAGCACAGCGGGTAGGGCGTTTGCCTTGCGCGAGGCTGACCTGGGTTAGATTCCCAGCATCCCATCGGGTCCCCCGAGCACTGCCAGCAGTCATTCCTGAGTACAGAGCCAGGAGCAACCCCAGAGTAGCACCAGGTGTGACCCAAAAAGAAAAAAAAAGAATGAAAGAATTGACACTGCTTCTGTTCTCCTTGTCAGGAAGTGATTCCCAATGGCCCCTGATCTCTGCCCAGAGAGACAGAATCCGCATGGGGGGGAAGTAACTGAGAGGAACTTTCTCCCGTAACTGGGACCTTCCCCCCGCCCATTATAACTGATGGGCCCCCTTGACTCTCCAGTCAGACTACCCTCACCCAGGCGAGGCCTCTCACACCCAAGCCTGCCTTTCTGTCTGCCCGAGGCCTTTGTCCCTCCTCCAGGAACTGTCCACGTGGTGACTATGTTTCACTATGGGTCCACTGTCTGCATCCAGTTTGGGTCTGTTCTTTTACTCACCTGCGAACGCCTGTTATCTGGCTTGTGGGGGGATGAGGGGGGCCCTCTGACCCTCCCAAACCCATTGCAGAATGGACTTCCATCCAGCCCACCGCCCCAGGAAGCAGCTTCTCTTATCCTAGGACACTGTTCTACCCAGAATGTGTGGGATGGCACAGGAGCGGGCGAGAAGAATGGCTGCAAAGTGGGGGACCGTGTCCAGAAAGAGCCTTGCTGTTCCAGGTGCATGTCCCTTCTCTACGCGCTCCTTCTCTGTGCATCCCTTCTCTTTCCGGGGAGCCTCTGGCACTTTTGAGGCAGGCAGGTAGGTAGGCAAGGGCACATGGCAATGGAATTTATTTTTCTTTTCTTTTTTTCTTTTTGGGTCACACCCGGCAATGCACAGGGGTTACTCCTGGCTTTGCACTCAGAATCACTCCTGGCAGTGCTGGGGGACCATATGGGATGCTGGGAATTGAACCCTGGTTGACCACGTGCAAGGCAAATGCCCTATCTGCTGTGCTGTCGCTCCAGCCCTGGCAATGGAATTTCTGAGAAGTCATAAATCCAATAGGCCTGGAGCTGCAAGAATTAAGGCCTAGGCCTGATAAGATCTTTCCGGTGCCTGTGACAGGCCCTGAGGTGGCTGGCCCCCATGGAGACACAAACTTCAGCAGAGATGGAGACGGCAATTAAGGCCTGAAGGAGATTATGACACTCAAACAACCCCCACCTTTGCCAGAGAAACTCCAGACCAAAGCAGCCCCCCTTAGCAACCTCCCTAGCAACGAACTCTTACCTAGCTAGAAAGCCCCATGCGGGGGCAGGTTGGGGAAACCCTGTATTTGCCTCTTCATCCTTCGGGCTCCAGTTTCTGTGTAGTAGACTGCTCTTGACAGTGCTCTTCATAGAGGTGCTTGGGGGCACACGATGTTACAAGCCCATCCCCGGCTCCCCTCCACCACTGTCTCTGGGTTCCCTCCCGCTGTGCCCGACCCTCATCAGTTCTGTGGGGTGACCCTTGGGGACTGGTCTCATGTGCCTGGATTTCAGTCCTGAGTTGTGGTTTGTTTGTTTCGTTGGTTGGTTTGGGGTCACACCTGGCGATGCTCAGAGCTGACTCCTGGCTCTGCACTCAGGAATTACTCCTGGCAGTGCTCAGGGGACCTTAAGGGATGCCGAGAATCGAACCTGGGTCGGCTGCGTACATGCAAGGAAAACGCCCTTCCCACTGTGCCTGGAGAAACCCTATAAAAGCCGGCTTAAACGAAGGAAGGGCGCACATATGCTGCCCGAGCCCATGTGCAGCTGGCACCCACGAGGCCGAGCACATGTTGCACCTGAGCTCATGTGTCGCCCGTGTCTCCCCTCTTGAGATGTGGACTGAGGCTCTCTCCGTCTTTGGAGAAACCTGCATTCTCTCTCTGTCTCTGTCTGTCTGTCTGTCTGTCTCTCACTTTCCCACCCTCCTTCCCCTTCCTGAACCCCCCCAAATAAAATCTGTTTTTGCTTCACTGCCCATTCACTCCTGAAATTCCTTTCTGTGAGGAAGACAAGAGCCGACAAACCCTGGGTTGGGCCCGGGACCGACTCTTTGCCTGCTGAACCCTAGTCCTCTCAGCCGCCCCCCCCCCCCCCCACCCCAGGGTGGCAGAGGTGAGTCGGAGAAAGACTCCCTTCTCTCCACCTCACATGCGACCCCTGGTGGGGCACACTTCACTTTTATGGCTCCATCACAGGTTCCTGCACTTAAGCCCTGGGCTACATGCTCAGCGTGCACACTGTCCTTTTGCTTGCTGACTCAGTGTTGACTCTCCCCAGCCCCCACCTCTGCCCTTGTTCTCCATCTCTCAGAAAGGGCCCTGAGAGCTGCTGCCATGGGCAGCTCTCTGCTGCACCCTGGTCGTGTTGCTGCACACCCCTATTTCTCAGATGAGAAAACTGAGGCTAAAAGAGGGACAGGGTAGGTTTCGTCGTGGGAGACTCAAATGCGTACTGTCTTCCCCTCTCAGAGTTTGTCACTGCCTACCCGTCCTGGTGACCTCCTGTTAAGTCAGATGATGCTATTGTCCTTCCTTTTTTTTTTTTTTTAACTTCCTTTTGTTTCTTCCCTTTCTTTCTCCACAGCCAGAAGTGCTCAGGGAATGATGCAGTGCCAGGGGTCAAACCCGGGGTTCTTGTGTGCAAAGTGTGTGCTCTAGTCCTATTACAAAGCATTCTTAAGAATAGGTGGGTGGGGGGGGTGGGAGGTAGGAGGCTGGCGAGCCAACATGTGGATGGTGCCTTTGACTGGCACTCAGCTGCCTCGGGTTCATTCTCCCGCATCCCATATGGTTCGTTAAGCCCCGGCAGGTGTGATCCCTGAGCATAGAGCCAGGGAAGCAAGCCCTGAGCACTGCCGGGCGGGGCCCCAAACCAAAAACAGAGAAGGCAGAGGGGCTGGAGCCGGTAGGGCACTTACCTTGCATGTGACCAACCTGGGTTTGATCCCCAGCATCACATAAGGTCCCTTGAGCACCGCCAGGAGTGACCCCTGAGCACAGAGCCAGGAGTCAGCCCCGAGCATCTCCAGGCTGGACCCCAGAGCACAAACAGATACTGAACAACAAAGAACAGAAAGAGGCTCCGTGAGCCGAGCCCAGCTCATGCCTTCCTGCTGGGGAGCCGCCTGCCCGCCACCTCCTCTCCCCTCTGATTTGGGGCCCCACAAGCCCAAGGGAGTGAGTCTGGGCTTCAATGACGCCCCTCTCCATCTCGGTTTCCCCCAAACACAACCCTGGCGGGTCAATTCCAAACTGATTTTATTCGTTGATTCTCGCCCAGGGAGAGCCCACCGCATCGCATCCGTGAGCCGTGGGGAGGGACGCCCCTGGGAGGTGCATTCTCGGGGGCTCAGGCTGGGGCCAGGCAGGCAGGAAGCAAGACAGAGAGCTGGAGGCCACGTGCGAGGTGCTCCTTCCCAGTTAACTCTCCCATCAGACTAGGCCTGGGGGCCTGGGGGACAGACAGCTTCCATGACCCCACAGCACACAGAAGACTCAGCATGGGGGTCTTGTCTGGCGGGAGCTGCTGTCCGCTTCTTCCCACTCCCCATCGTTCTCTCCTTCTTTCCCATCGAGTGGAGTGAAGGTCATGTGTTCACACTGGTGCCTACTCTCCTGGTCTTGGTGCTACAACCGTCACCTCCCCTCACCGCCATTGAAGTACCCTCGACCCCCCACCCAGGATGCTGAGTCACCTTCATCCACCTGCTCCCCACTGCTTTTTTATCTTTCTTTTTTTCTTTTTGGGTCACACCCAGCGATGCTCAGGGGTTACTCCTGGCTCTGCACTCAAGAATCACTCCTGGTGGTGCTCAGGGGACGCTATGGAATGCTGGGAATCGAACCCGGGTCGGTCGTATGCAAGGCAAATGCCCTCCCCGCTGTGCTATTGCTCCAGCCCCTCCCCACTGTGTTTACTTTCCTCAAACTGTTGTCATCAAGCTTGATCTTTTCTCTTTTTCCTCCCTTTGTTCTTTTGCTTCCTTCCTTCCATTATTTCCTCCCTCTCCTATTGTTGGTCCCTTCTTTCCTTCCTTCCTCCTCCTCCTCCTCCTCCTCCTCCTCCTCCTCCTCCTCCTCCTCCTCCTCCTCCTTCTCCTCTTCTTCCTCTTCCTTCTCCTCTTCCTCCTCCTCCTCCTCCTCCTCCTCCTCTTCCTCCTCCTTTTCCTCCTCCTCCATCTCAGTTCCTCACAGGCTATCTCATCTCCCTTTCTCTCCATCCCTCTCTCTTATCCTCATCCTCCCTGTTTTCTATCAACATCTCACATAGAAAAAAATTTTGTGCTAATGATTAAGGGGGGGGGAGGTTGGAGTCCGTTCCCTGGCCTGCCCGTGAGAACCCCACATCCCCAGGAGGTTGTAGGCCGTCCAGTGGAAAAGGAAAGGGCCTTGCAGATGGCGCTGGGCCTAGGCAGACTTCTCCCACTCCTTCTTCCGGAGCTCTGACCTCTGGATTTTCCCTGTGACCGTCTTGGGGAGCTCCGGGACAAACTCCACCTGTAGGGAAGAATTGGTCCAGAGTGGGCCACGGTGAGGCCAGCCGAGTGCTGTGGGCTGGGAGGAGGTTTCTGAGGTCCCCGGCCAGTGAGCTTTGATCTGGAAACTCCCAGGGCAGCCCCTAGTAAATGAGAAGCCAGCAAGTGCTCTGGGCCAAGAGCAAGAGAGGAGGAGACAAGGACGGAAGGGGACGGTCAGCTAGTCTTGGGCGTACGTGTAGACTTGGGAGAAGCGGCCAGGTGAAGGCAGCAGACTCCCGACTCTGGACCTGTCGCTTAGCTTCTCTGAGACTCAGTTTCCTCGATGAGTGCATTAGAAGATGGCTGTCCTGTTGGGTTGTGGTGAGGATATCATATGATTATATACCTACGTTCTTGACACTGAAAATGAATTGCTATTTCTCTGCCATTTCCTGTTGGTGTGTCCTTGGTAAAAATCTGTGAAATCTCTCCAATATCATTTTGCTCGCCTGGGAAAAGGAAGGGTTGAAATCTAGGACCCCCTGCTCCCAGTCTCTTCCTGAATTCTAAATTATGGGTAAAGGAAGCTCGTCCATCAGAACATCCCTTTCTGTGCTCTGTGGTTCAGCTTGAAGGAGATTGGTCTAGAAGAGAGATGATTTCGGGTTTAATAATAATGGCAAAGGCATGCTGATATGGAAAATGTGTCTTCTTTAGCACCTACGTACAGTGAGAGTCTTCCGTAAGGCAAGATGATGTTACGGAAAGGGTATGTATGAGGCACAGAACGTTCTGGATCTTCCAGACCCTGAGGAAAACAGAAATTCCTTAGCATTTACTATAATCATAAGCATCTCAGGAGCTTATAATGAATGTTTATTTTGTGGAGTTGGGTGAGTGGCATTAGAAGAAGGGGTGACAAGCTATGGTCTGTGTGCCAAGTTCAGTCTGATTCTTGTTCTTGGGAATAAAGTTTTATTGAAACATGGCCACACCCATTCACTTATAGAGAGGAGCAGGAAGGAGTTGAGTGATTGTGACCTCCCCGCCCCCCGCCATGTGTTCACATTAGACTCCTGGGGTGTAGCTTGAAGGAAGTTGCTTGGGAGAGTCTCTGTTCATTCTGAGAGGGACACTCAGAAGGAAGCATGTGATCAAGGAGGAAGAAGAAGGCAGGGTAGCATCTCCGGAAGTAAGAAGGAAAGGCATAGTTCCTGATATTCCAGAGGACAGGTATCTCTGGAGTATTGGAGTAAAACTGTATGTTTTGTTTGTTTGTTTGTTTGTTTGGGGGCCACACCCAGAAGTCCTAAGGGCTTACTCCTGGCTCTGGACTCAGGGCTTACTCTTGGTAGGGCTTGGAAACCATATAGGGTGCCTGGGTATGCAAGGTAGCACCCCGCTGTACTCTCACTCGAGCCCCGTAATCCTGTTTACAGGAGATTCTGGCTCCTGCAATATTCAGTTAAGTCCATAAAAGGGTGTGATTGGCTTCACCCCGCTCCTTTCAAAGCAGCGTATTAAATGTCTGCTGTTTTTCCCACTCTTCTAAATGTCTGTCTGAACACCAACCATTTCCTACCAGTCTGCAATGCTGCTTAGAGAAGCAAAGTGAGACTGCTGAGAGGGCAAGTGGTAGCAATTCTAACCATTTAAGTCCAGTTTTAATCATGAAAATCCGACCCTGCTCCCAGCCCCTGCCGTGATGTGAGTAACAATTGCACAGAACTAACAGCACGTCGTCCTTTCTCAAGCTTCATGCACGTACCACCTACCAGAGCCCCACAAGTTCTCCAGACAGGGTACCAGCTCCCCACTTTCAGTTAGGGACTCTGCAGGGGCATCCTCACTGTAGGATTTCTCAAGGTGCTCCCAGTCTGCCTGGGGGTTGGGGTGGGGGTTCTCTGTAACCTCACCGTCCACCCACTCCAGGCCTCTTCTCTGCCTTCCTCCCTCGCCACTCCCTCCCTTAAGGCTAGTCACCCTCTAGAGGACTCATCTCAGTCCAGAGTTGTTTCTTAGAGCTCCCACAGGGCAGATTGGCCAGGGCAGTGAAAGTCCCCCAGATCCTGAGGGCTCCAGGCTCCTGAGTAGCTCAGGCTTCTACCCCCAGCCATTGGCTTCCCCTGGGGCAGACTCCTAAAACTTCCTCCTCAGGGCCAGCCAGGCCCAACCTGGTTCCACCTGGTTCCCTGACCCGGAGGGCAAGCAACTAAAAAGAGAATGTGCCCGGTGCCCTTTAGATTGAGAACTTGGGGAAGGGTCCTCCCTCCAGTCCCTCCCCCATGCAACCCAGAACTGGCCCCAGTGTTCCTCCCCTCTTTTTTTTTTAAGATAAAAGGGGATTTATTATTATTATTCACAAATCACAAATCATCCTGTTAATCGTCGATTGCTTCGAGCAGGCCCCAGTAACGTCTCCTTCATCCTAGCCCTGAGATTATATTCAAGGCTCTTTAGGAGAATGAGACCCATCATTGTTACTGGTATTTGGCATATTGGGTACGCCACAGGGAGTTTGCCAGACTCTGCCGTGTGGGCAGGCTACATTCGGTAGCCTGCCAGTTTGTCCAAAGTAGAAATGAGATAATAAGATGTCATAATAAGATGTCGCGCAGCCGCATTCGCGGTTCCGGGAGCTGGTTTTTATAGTCTCTGAGTCTTGGCCGCTGATGGGATTACACGGTGCCAGGGGGCCAGTTGGTGGGTGTGATAATTATTATTATTATTATTATTATTTGCTTTTTGGGTCACACCCGGCGATGAACAGGGGTTACTCCTGTCTCATGCACCCAGAAATTACTCCTGGCAGTGCTTAGGGGACCATATGGGATGCTGGGAATTGAACCCGGGTGGGCCAAGTGCAAGGCAAACGCTATGGCTCCAGCCCCAGTTCCTCCCCTCTTGATGGTGATTGGACTGATCAAGGATGAGCACGTGACCTGATTTGATCCAATGAAAGGCAACCCCCAACCTTTCATAGACCTGGAGGGAAAAGTTCGTTGTCTACTGGGATGGGCTCAGTGCTGGAACTGTTTGGAGCTGCTGGTACCCTTCAAAGGGGAGAGCATTTCCCAAAGCGACACCCATGAAGAAAGAGGAGGTGGCATATGGGAGAGAGAACTTGGGCCTGAAAAGAGCCCAGAGCAGAACAATTTCTCCTCCCCAAGACGGGAGGAGCCCAACGGCCTCACCTTCCGGGGGTACTTGTAGGGGGCTGTCAGTAATTTCACGTGGTCCTGAAGCTCCTTGGTGAGCTGGTTCCGGTCTTGGGACGTGAACTGTGGGGCCAGGACCACAAATGCCTTCACCACCTACGGGGGGCCGGGGGGGGGGGGGAGCGGAGAAGAGAGAGAATCTGAGCAGCATGGTCTCCAGTGATGCTTTAGGCCTCGATGCCTGACTTGCATTGCACAGACTCGGGTTTGAATCCTTAGCTACACGTGTGACCCCCCAGAACACCGCCAGGGCTCACTCCTGAGCACAGAGCCAGGAGTAGCCCTTGAACACCACCAGGTGTGACCCCACCCCTCCCCGCTAAAAGAACAAGACTGTCATCATCATCTGGGACTGATGAATATTCGTGTTGAGATTTCTGCTGTAGCTGTCACCTCCCTCCCTTTAATGACACCCCCCTGTGCTCTAAGTGTTTTTTTCCTTTTTGAGTCACACCCAACGATGCTCAGGGGTTCCTCCTGCCTCTGCACTCAGGAATTACTCCTGGCCGTGCTCGGTGGACCCTATGGGATACGGATATTAAACCCCTTGTACTATTGCTCTGGCCCCAGGCTCTAAGTTTTGGTGAAGGAGAACCTGCTGGAGCATAATAGAGGTTCCAGCTCTCTGTCTGAAGACTTCCTGGATGGGTAGGAAGGGCTGAGAATGGAAGCCTGACTCATAGCTATCCCCAGGGGCAAGAGGCTCTGTTGGGGACGAACGCCTTAGACAAGAGGAAACTGAAAACCCAGAATGGTCAGCTTAGCAGTCTGCTCCACGGCTCCAAACCATGAGCTTGCACATCCCGAACTTGGACCCAGTGGTCGGACTTTATTCATAGCACTGTAGCACTGTCCTCCTGTTGTTCATCGATTTGCTCAAGCAGGCACCAGTAATGTCTCCAGTGTGAGACTCGTTGTTACTGTGTTTGGCATATCAAATACGCCATAGGAAGCTTGCCAGGCTCTGATGTGTGGGTGGGATACTCTTGGTAGCTTGCCAAGAGGGGCAGAGGAATCAAACCCAGTTTGATTCCTGCAAGGCAACTTGACACAGCCCTATCTGCTGTGCTATTGCTCCAGCCTGACTTTGTTCATGGGAAATGAAATGAAATCAAGCACAGCACAGGCTTCTCTCACTCAGGGTCTGCCATGCCCCCACACCTGTCTAGTGTTCCTATGACCATGGGTGATTGTGCCTACACCAGCCAGAGGTATGATATTGCTTAAGGCACATGCCCCAGAGATGCGCCTGGACATTGGACCATGCCTCTACCCCTAAGCCCTCTGGGCCCTGCCTATAATCCCGACACTGTAGGGTTCTTCCTTCCCTCCCCGATTCTCATGGTAAATCTCGGAGAGGGTCAGAGAGGCTCCATCTCCTGGCTTAAATCCCTTCACTGTTCTTCTAGTTAAGGATCAGATTTGATCCAGGGGCTAACCAGCAAGTGGGTACCAGAACAGTGGACCTTCTATGATGCTTGCAGTGTGCTTGCTTCTTCCAAGCAAACTGCACATCTTTTATTTTTTATTGAACCACCATGAGATAGTTACAAAACTTTCATGTTTGAGATTCAGCCAAACAATGATCAAACACCCGTCCCTCCACAAGTGCAAACTTTCTACCACTAATGTCCCCATTATCCCTTCCCCTCCACACCAGTCCTCACCCTGCCTCTATGGCAGACAATTGCTTAGATATTCTCTCTCCATTTTGAGGCATTATATTTTGCTCAAATTTTCCCACCACCGTTCACACCTGCCCTCCACGGGCAGATGCTAGATCATTTATTTTCTATTGCTCATTTTGCATATTGTGAAAGGTTGCACAGCCGCATAAGCAGCCATGGGCTTCTGAAATTCTAAGATTATAAATGGTTGGGTTCCAGAGACATCTCTGTGGGGAGCTATTCCATTTTGGGATTTAATTGGGAATTTCTGGGCCCAGGCTGTTGGTGTGCCAAGATGGCGCCTGGGGGGAGGGTTGTGGGTGTGACGTCTGGCATCAGGAGCGGACGGGAAGCTGGGTTGAGACTTCCCGGTTCTACTGCCGCTGATATCGCACATCTTAACACCTAAAAACATTGCAATAGCCCCTCACCTTCCAGACGGGAAACTGAGACTCAGAAAGGCTTAATATCTTGCCCAACGTCAGAAAGGCAATCAATTGTCAAAATTTAGACTCACACTGGCCAAATACAAAGGCCACACTATTAGCCGCCATATTATACCACCATTAATTACCAAATGTACTCCCCTTATGACGCTCCCTTTTACCTCTCCACGGACAGCGTCTGGGCTGCTGACAACAGCTGTCTCCAGCACAGCGGGGTGCTCCATCAGTGCGTTCTCCACCTCTGATGGTCCGATCCGGTACCTGGAAGAGAACCCATCCTTCAGAGAAGACTGAACATTCTAGAGCTAGAACCATCCAAACTTTTCATCCAGACCACCCTCCTCAGCTCAGAACCCAAACTCACCCACTAGAGTTAATAATATCATCGGCTCGTCCCATGAAATGGAAATACCCGTCACGGTCCTTAGTGCCCCGATCTCCCAGGAGCCAGAAATCCCCTCGAATGTTGGCTGCTGTCTTCTCAAGGTTGTCCTAGCAAACGCATAAAGGCAAAGTCTCTATGGATGCAGAGCCTCAGCTGCCCCAGGGCTGCCATGTACGGGTGGGCAGGTTGTAGCTTTCGTGCCTCTAATAACTCTACACGGTGGTTTTAACTGAGCTAGTCAACACCAACCCCAAGCGGAACTGGGTGTTTTCTCTTAATGTCAATGGTTCCACCCACACTCTCTCACCTACTCCCCTGGGTCAAGTCTGATGGGTAATACTGATGCATTCATTCACTCCTGCTCTAAGAATTTCCCCTGACTGGTATCTACTTTCCCTTCAATGGTCGGTCTGTCCCTCTCTGCTCAATGACACCTTTCCTGGGTCCCAATGTCATTAAGCATTTTTCCTTGGGTCCTTTGTTAGATTTGGAAGTTCTAGAAATATATGTCAGCAAAGCCTTACCATCATGATCAATGTATTTGTTTCTGGAAAGGCAGGGGTGCCTCTGTTCACCTAAGGTAAGCACTGAGGTGGCTCTAGGTCTTCCCCTTCATTGACATTTTGTATCTTGTTCAAATGTTGTGGGCTGTGGACGTGTATTCATTCCCTAGGTGGGAAGGCAGCATAGAGACTTTGTAGTCTAGCTTCTTCATTTGGAAATCAGGGGTTCAGGAGGTCCCAGAGATCCAGAGCCTTACCCAAGCTAAGCAGCCACAGCAGATGACAAAGCTAAGACAGAAAGCCAGATCTCTCCATCAGCAGCTGGACTCTTCAGGTACCCTGCCAACATGAACTCTGATGCATTTCAACCAATCAGCATAGCGCCTCTAACTATTCCCTTGTCTGTCCAGTAGGAGAATCCCGTGGCTCCGTAACAAGGATGGTGTGTGAAAACGGAGACTGGGACAACTCCAGGAAAGAGCTTGGCGAAGAGTCCAGTGTAACTCTGCCTCATCTTCTGAGACTTCATTTTCCTTCTCTATACACTTGGAAGGCTAATTTGAGTCTACAATACTTCTTTGATCTCATACACCCACATGGAGCATTGATCTAAGTATGTTACAGAGATCAGTACCTTCAAATATCCACCATAATGCCATAAAGTAGGTCCTCCTTAAGGGGGAGAGAACAGAGGCATGAGAAATCAGTAGCTTAAGATCACGTGGTAAATTGTGGATCAGGGCTTTGAACTCAAGCAATTGTGCTCCAAAGATGACCTAGGCTCACAGGGAGGACTGAAGAGTTTTGTGTGTCTTAGGTGCTCTGCAACAGTACTGCTTCTGGAGTGAGCACTCAATTACTGGTAGCAGTGATTGCTGGGTTTGTTATTAACCAGCTTGGCATCCCAGAGTGGACTGGAGTTCTTCCCACTTAGCTTTTCAGCAGTAGTTGGCTTGTATAGGTCTTATCATCTTGAAATTCCCTATTCTCCCCTGAAAAGTGAGGTGGTTGGCACCAAGGACCATTTGTTCCTGATGCCCACGGACAGAAAAGAGGATGCTTATGCCCCTAGAGTGAAGTCTCGTTGTAAGAATATCCAATCTGGGTCTAAAGATACAAGCGGCATAGAGCAGCGGCATAACCCTTGGGGGTGAAGTCAGGGGCTGGAGGGGACCAGCCGGAAGGGGTATGTGGAGAAAGACAGTCCTCCCAGTGATATCTCAGTGACAAATAAGCCCGCCTTTCTTCTTGGTGAAGAATCCCTTGGTAGACTTGGGTCTGTGCCTTGTCCCTGTGTCTTTGCAGCATCTCTTGACATGTTCTTAATGTTGGAGCCTCCCATGTGTGTTTATTCCCTCTTATTCTCCTCTGTCCTCATGGAGAAGGAGGAGGAGGGTGAGGAGAAGGAGGAGAGGTGGAGGGGAGGAGGGGGATGGAAGAGGAGGAAGGGGAGGAGGAGGGAGAGAATGAGGAGGAAGAGGACGAGGAGGAAGGAGAGAAGGAAGAGGAGGAGGAGGAGAGTGAGGAGGGAGGGGGGGGGGGAAGAAGGAGGAGGAATTCCTCACCACATAGCCCGAGAAGATGCCCACAGGCTTGATGGGTTTGACCCTAATACCCAACTCTCCTTCTGTATCAGGGGGCAGAACATTGCCATTGGCATCCACGACCTGGAAAAAGTAAGAACATCAATGGTCAGCACATCTCAATGGTCAGCACATCTGGCTTGAGTCACCCGGCAGCCCACAAGAGCTCAGTTGGTCAGATGGAAGACCCTCTAGAGTTGATCACAATCTAGAAATCTGACACCAAGGTAGGGAAGCAAGAATTTAAAACTCAGGTCTTTGCTCCAGATGCCTGAGATAGGCTAGGCATCATTTTTGGGGGGGGTAGTTGGAAATGCTCCCAGAGAGTACTTTGGAGGACCAGTGAACCCTCCCCATGATATTTGGTCAGTAGGGTCAGTGGTTCATGAGGACTGAGGATGTAGCATGGCACTACTTGGGCCCTTCAGTGTGAGAGATTCCTTGGGTCACCTCAGCAGTACTTGGTGACCTCCAGGGCTGCATGTGGCAATGCCTGAAGGGTGATATGGTTTCAGGGATCCAGCTAGGGTCAGCCTCCTTCACCCTGCACTGTCTTCTGCCCCTAGCCCCCAGCTTATTCTGTTTTCAGTGCTCGGATCACACCTTCCAGTGCCCTACCCTCAGGAGTGTCTGGCAGTGAGTGTCAGGACACCATATATGGTGGTTCCAGGATTCGAACCAGGGTTATAGCTGCCACAGCTGCATGCAAGGCAAGTGCCTTCCCTCCTATACTCTGAACCTGGACGAGCTTCTTAAAGTGTGGGTCAAGATTCTGCAGCTAAATAGGAAGGTTGTGAAATCATTGGCAACTCTAAAAGGTTTCTGGATGTACCATAATGACCGACGCAGAATTAAAAATTAAACCATGTCATGAATCCGAGATGTTTCTCAGCACATCTGGGCACAGGCCTCCTGGACACACCAGCACCGCTGAGTACCAGAATGTCAGCATGACATGGTTAGGCTGGGCGTTGATGGGAGTGGCCTTTGGATTCCAGGCACCAAGAGGAGCAGCCCACTAATAAAATAGAATTTAAAATTAATGATGGGACTGTTTATGCGGCTCCAGTGGTAGAGCACATGCCTCATATGTACGAGGCCCTGTGTTTCATCCCTGGCATTGCATGATGGTGATGATGATGATGATGATGATGATGATGAGGAGGAGGAGGAGGAGGAGGAGGAGGAAGATGAGGAGAATGAGGAGGAGGAGGAGGAGGAGGAGGAGGAGAAGGAGAAGGAAGATGGTGTTGTTGTTATGAACTGACTCGGAAAGAGGATCACTCAAAATTATTTAATATTGGCCACAAAGTGGGATCACAGGAAAGAACCTGATCTTGGTTTCCAGGGCAAGGAAACCCACAAACTCGTGGACTCATTAGCTGCCAAGGGGCCTTTCCTCTGGATCAGAATTGGAACCAACACCCCTTCCTCCTCCGAGGCCCCGACCAACCTGCACATCGTAGTGGGGAATGGCTGTTCCCAGGGAGCCGGGTTTGATTTCCATTGTCTTGGACACTCGACAGGTGAGGCCCTGCAGGTGAGAGGCAGACAGCACATCTCAGCCAGGTCCCAGGGTCCCAGAGTCGAAGAGCTGCAACAGCGACCCCGAGAGCAGGCGCACTCTGCTGTGGCTCCCACTTGCTGCCTCCCCTCCCCACAGTGTTCTCCCCACTTCACGGCACTCTCTCCCCCCCCCCCCCCCCCCAGGCGTTGCATCAAAGCATTAGGTGAGCAATCTGATTGACCTCTCCCACGCAAAGGCATAGCCAATGCCTTGTACTCTCTTTGGAATGCATCATTATTATTTTCTGGGCTTTTGGAGTCACACCTGGTGATGCTCAGGGGTTAGTCCTGGCTTTGCACTCAGGAATTACTACCAGCAGTGCTTGGGGGACCCTATGGGATGCCGGGGATTGAACCTGTGTCAGCCACGTGCAAGGCAAACACCCTACCCGCTGTGCTATTGCTCTGGCTCACCAAAATTCTTTAACAGAGGAAGAGATTAAATTAGATTAAATTAAGAGGAAGAGACAAAAGGGCATGAGATGACGTCACTTGCCCCTTTAGAGCCAGCGCTGCTTGATCCTGATTAGCCTTCAGAGACAGAGCATTCCCTAAATGACCTCTAAACGGCAGCAGGACTTGGCCCTGACCCTACTGTCCTCATCCATGTCTGCAAAGCTCCTTCAGTGGCAGTGATGCCAGGAGGGGGCCCTGTTAACTGTAGAAGTGTGTAGCACGTATGAGTGGAGAGCACATAATGAGGAGTACTGAGAGTCCTCAGCAGAGGCACTGTGGAAAGGAATCCTTCCTCCCTAAGTGCCATGTCACAGAGCAGTGGGGACCCGCATTGCAGGCCTGGAGCCCCAGAGCTCCAGGAAGATCATCTCAGCCGGTGAGGCGGGGCCTTGGCAGGCCCCCTGTTCCCTCTCTTCCAACCCAGGACCACAGGACAGTGCTCGTCACATTCCACACACCCAGAGCTGAAGACAACTCGCACCCGAGGACTCTCCTGGACACCACACCGGAAACAGAAGCCACTCACCTGCCACGTCATATATGTGTTGGTTCATCGGAAGTCCTGTTAAGTCATAAATGTGATTTGTCTCCACTATCTTAGGGAAGCAAAAGCTTTGCTTCTTTTGTTCTCTGCTGACTTTCCAATACTTAGCCCCTCTGCCATCATGGTGTTCCTCAGTCAAGATGTCCTTTTGTAATTCTGAGTTTGTCCCTCTTTAAAGGACAGGACAAAATTCCCAGCAAGTGGCATTTAGTATGACACTCACTCACTTTATGGTTGCCTTCTACTAACTTAAGCAAGGTATGTTTACTCCTAACTGGCTAATCCATTTTCAATAATTAACTAATGTCTCATTTATATCGAATGGTTTTTATTTGTAGGCTTTATCTACTTTATGTAAACAAAACAACAAACACTGTTCTCCCGTTGTTCATCAATTTACTTGAGCGGGCCCAGTAACATCTCCATTTTGAGACTTGTTGTTACTGTGTTTGGCATATTGAATACGTCACGGGGAGCTTGCCAGGCTTTGCCATGAGGGTGAGATACTCTTGGTAGCTTGTAGGGCTCTCTGAGAGGAACGGAGGAATCAAACCCGGCTCGACCGGGCTGGCTGTGCGTAAGGCAAACGCCCTACCACTGTGCTATGGCTCCAGCTTCATGTAAAGTCCAAAATATATTAGCACAAAAAATTTTAAAGCTTTGTTAACAGGGAAAATATGATTATTATTACGATGAAGACCAATTCATAAAGGTAAAGGTAAAGGCCCTCCCGTTGATCGTCGATTTGCTCGAGCGGGCCCAGTAACGTCTCCATTGGAGACTTTGTTGTTACTGTGTCTGGCATATCGAATACTCTCGGTAGCTTGCCGGGCTCTCCGAGAGGGGCGGAGGAATCGAACTCGGGTCGGCCATGTTGGCCGCGTGTAAGGCGAACGCCCTACCCGCTGTGCTATCGCTCAATTTAATGCAATACATTTTAGATCCAAGAGTTTTTTTTATGAGCAAGGAGTTGGGTTTTGTTTTGTTTTGTTTTGGGGTCACACAAGCTCAGGGCTTACTACTGGCTCAGGAATCACTTATGGCAGGTATGGGGGGACTATATGGGGTGCTAGGGGGTTGAACCTGGCTCAGCCATGTGCAAGAAAAGTGCCTGACCCCTCTGTACTATCTCTTCAGCCCACATAGGGTCCTTTAAATCCCATTAGAACTTCCAGCCAATAGTTCCCCAAGGAAGATACCGTTTCTGTCTGGCCATAGAATTCTCGAATGTCCAGTCCCGTTTGGGCCTTCCAGCTCTCCAGAGTTTCTGGAAGAAGGGCCTCTCCTCCACTGAAGCAGTGCTGTAGATGTGGGAACTTGTGACTGCAAAAATAAAGAAATAAATAAAGATATTGAGATATTCCCTCTGAGTCTCCCAGGAACCAAACTCTGCCCCATGCTATACTGGATTCTGGAGTTGGCTTCATGGGGTGACTTGTGCTTCACGGTCAGACAGGTGAGCACCTGGCAAGAGTGTGGGGAAGGAGGCTAGATCAATAGATCCAGAAGTTCCTACGGGTACCCACAGCTCCTCACCTGGAAAGATCCTGCTGTAGCAGTGTCCGGTAAACAATGGGGGCACCTACCAAGTTGTTGATTGGGTAGCTGGACAGCACCTGGATGGGGAGAGAGTGGAACTCACTGGTGTGTTGGAGGAGGCAGTTCACCAGCTTGGGCTATGGGTTTGCAGAGGTCTGGAGGAATTCTCAGCTGCACAACTGGTCTAGGTCAGGCCAGATGGGCCCCATAGTTCTCCTGCCCCTTACACCAAAAGTGACAAGTGATCACCCACTGTTTGAGGGAAAAAGAGATCTAGGATGAATTGTTAAATATTTGTTCAATCCTGACTCATCGTTCCAATCAGTGACTTATTCTCAAAAAACATGCCAGGAGGGCCAGGGAGGCAGTACCGGGTAAGCATTTGCCTGGCATGCGGAGGATTCTGGTTTGAATTCCTGGCATCACATTTGGTCCCCTGAGCACCACTTGAGCATAGAGCCAAAATAGCCACTGACTGGGCTGGAGCGATAGCACAGCGGTAGGGCGTTCGCCTTACAAGCGGCCAACATGGCCGACCCGAGTTCGATTCCTCCGCCCCTCTCGGAGAGCCCGGCAAGCTACCGAGAGTATTCGATATGCCAGACACAGTAACAACAAAGTCTCCGATGGAGACGTTACTGGGCCCGCTCGAGCAAATCGACGATCAACGGGAGGGCCTTTACCTTTACCTTACCTTACCTTCGTATGTGGCCTAAAATATGCAGCACCCTGCCTCCCCCAGCCCCCTGAAAAAAAAAAAAACTATTGAAAGACCTGAAATTACAATCATTAAAGGAAGGAGGTCAGCTACTATCGCTATTGACTGTTTAGTCTTGATTAAACAAGATTTGATTAAACAAGACTCTCATTGGAGTCTTGAACTTCGGGCACAAGACTCATAGTAAGTTATTCATCATGAGTTAAAATGAGTTATTCCAGCCCTATTATTTTTTGGAAAAAAATTTTGGCCCACACTTTGGGCATCAAAGATGGATCAGAAATGCTATTGGAAAAAGTGTCACTCCATGCCAGGCTCTGTGTGGCCTCATGGATGCTTTCCCATTCTCCACTTTACCTATGAGAATACTTTCACCCTATGTCACCTTGTTAAGGAACTTTCTCCAGGTCTCCAGGTCATACCGCCAGAAAGTTGTGGAACTGTAACTTGAAGCCTTAATCGTTAGGGCTGGAGTAATAGCACAGCGGGTAGGGGTTTGCCTTGCACACAGCCGACCCAGGTTCAATTCGTCCGTCCTCTCGGAGAGCCCGTGAGCTACTAAGAGTAGCCCGCCTGCACAGCAGAGCCTGGCAAGCTCCTCGTGGTGTATTTGATATGCGAAAAACAGTAACAAGTCTCACAATTGAGACATTACTGGTGCCTGCTTGAGCAAATCGATGAACAATGGGAGGACAGTGCTACAGTGCTACAATCGTTAGGTAACACCAACACCATGTTTTGGTGCAGATTATTGCAAAGTTTGGTTTGCACAAAAGCGTCTAGAAAAGAATAACATTAGAGCATCTTGAGATTCTCCCTTCTCAGCACTCTTGATGAGCTAGTAGAAACTATGAATCCCTCTCCTTTCCTTATTGTCTTGTCAGTGGCTGCTTAGTGACTGCTTCTCTCTGTACTCTCTGCCTCCCCTCTCCTTTCTGTATTTTCTACCTTTTACACATGTTGTAGTCATTTTCTACTTGTGCCCTTTAGCCAAAAAGCCTCTCGAAATTCTTCTCTTCCAAGAACAAAGGCATGCATTTATTCAAAATACAAACTGAGCTATACTCATCGAGATTCTCCTGAGAGAATCCAGGCTCTCTCCAGCCTTTTGACATTTGAGGATGTCATTCATGTCTTGCTTTGCTCCCAGAGTTTCTGTTGCCAGAGGTCAGATTGACTGTCCACTGCTACAGAGATAAGGGGGCTCCAGGATATCTGGTCCAACGTGCTGTCTCAAGTGAGGGCCAACAGAGGGTGGGTCTTGGCAAGCAAATGAAGGCTTTGCTTTTACTTTCCAAGGTGAGGTGTAAACATGCACTGCTGATGTGTGGCTGTTAACTGACCATGCATACATTGGTGCTCCCTACACGCTTCACCATAGAGCTGGATACTATAGTAGGCTAGACATCTGACTTTGTGACAGTTGTAGTACCAAGTTGCCTAATCTAGGCATTTGTCAGAATGACTCTCCATTGTTAATCCACCTGGGACTGTAGTTTGGCAGTCCACTCATTCTTTAAGATTCCTTATAAATAGTACCCTCAAACAGAAAACAAACCTTAATGACCATCAATAATAAGATGGAAGATTAGATGATTAATGGTGGCATATGCACAGAATTAACTGTTGTACAACCACCACAAAGAACTCCCTTTAATTCCATGCAGCGGTGTTAACAATATTCACAGGGAAAACGTTGCCTGGGAGAAGTCAGACACAGAGATATCTATTGTTTTATTCCCTTTACATCAAGTTTGAGAAGAGGCAAAAGTTAATACATGGAGATAGAGGTCAGAAGAGTGATTGACTTTGGTGTGTGGCCCTTTGGCATGAGGGAGTCTGAAGTGATTGAAATAATTCTTATTCTCCATGAGTCAGTAGTTTTGTAAGTGTCTGTCATAGACAAAAAGGCATAGAGAATGGTCATTCCCATTCTCTATGTTGAAGTCCTCCAGTGGGATGCATCTGGACGATGGGGGGTGGGGCCTTGGGGAGGTAATTAAAGTTGGGTGAGGTCCCAAGGGTGGCCCCCATTATGGGATTGATGCCCTTCCAAGAAAAGGAATGAATCTGCAGCTCGCTCTCTCCTGCAGGTGAGGATCTGATGTGGGGGAAGCCCTTGATAAGCCAGAAAGAGAATTCTTACAGGGACCTAGCCATGCCCTCACTTTGATATTGACTACACTCTCCAGAATAATGCCAAATACATGGCTGTTTTAGTCACCCAGTCTCTGGTGTTCTGGGAGTGTGTGTGTGTGTGTGTGTGTGTGTGTGTGTGTGTGTGTGTGTGTGTGGTTTTTTGGTTTTGTTTTGGTTTTGGGGCCACACTCAGTGATGCTTGAAGGCTACTCAATGGCTATGCTCAAATAATCATGTGGTTTCAGGGATCAAACTGGGGTCAGTCATAGGGAAGACAAGTGCCTTAACACTTGTATTATCTCTCTGGCACTCTTGATCTTTGTTACATCTGAATGAACTGTCTAATAGTCTCTAATTTTTTTTTAACTTTTTGGGCCACACCTGGCGATGCACAGGGGTTACTCCTGGCTCTGCACTCAGGAATTACTCCCGACATTGATCAGGGGACCATATGGGATGCTGGGAATCGAACCCAGGTTGGCTGCGTTGCAAGGCAAATACTCTACTCGCTGTGCTATCACTCCAGCCCCTCAAGCTATGCTTTTAAGATGATTGTGCTAGGGCAAATGTATACAATACACCCGTGACTTCCCACCCTTTCCCTTTCATCTGCTTTATCACTATCTGATACTTGGTACCAGGGAAAGATTGAACTGAATATGTAAAACATGAATGAGTGCATGAGTCATGAATATGTCTGTTATCTGCCTATTTCTTTCTATCTAAGGAAGGGTGTGTCTGCTTCTCTGGATCATGAGTTTTACAAAGGCATAACCCTTTCCTTCTTTCTACTGAACCCAGTCCATCCTTGTGCATGTGGTAAGGCTTATTGAAAATTAAATGAATTGAAAGTGTGATTACTTGGAGGGTACAAACCTTGGGTTAACCACCTGATTCAAATTGCTAGCCTCTCACCTTGATAATAACCAGCGGGTCAAACTTTGGCATGAGATGGACAAATGTGCATGCTCCTGATGCCCAAGGTTCCAAAAATGAGGCCAAGATGTTCAGAATCCAGCCTGTATCCGATACAGTCCATATGATATCAGAGGCCTTCAGGTTTATCCATATACTGAGAACACAGAGGAAACACAAGTACATCAACATGCATGTGTGTGTGTTTGCACATGAGGCAAGGTAGCTGTGTAAACAGTATGTGTGTACCTGATTGTACTTTTATATGCAGGTGTGTAAGTCTAAGCAGTCAAAGGGATGAAGAATCCTCCTACCCTCATGATCAGTATCAAGAGGGAGAGACTATTCAGGTGTGACTACAGCCCCCAGGACTTAACAGATGACAGAGTCTATTTCTCATTATAGAATTTGGTGCAATTGCTATAGCACCATGGGCAGGGCATTTGCCTTGCATGTGACCCGCCTGGGTTTGATCCCTGCCACCCTGAATGGTTCCCTGAGCTTTCTAGGAGTGATTCCTCAGTGCAGAGCCAGGAGTAAGCCCTGAACACTGTGAGTTGTGGCCCCAGAACAAAACAGAAAAAGACTTTGGTGCAATTTTGGGCATGCAGCAAGGGCACATGGCAGGTTGCCCTGGCCAATTTTTTTTAGTTATAATAATGACCTTGGGACTGGAGCGATAGCACAGCGGTAGGGTGTTTGCCTTGCACACAGCCAACATGGCCGACCCGAGTTCGATTCCTCCGGCCCTCTAGGAGAGCCCGGCAAGCTACCGAGAGTATCTCGCCTGCACGGCAGAGCCTGGCAAGCTCCCCGTGATGTATTCGATATGCCAAACACAGTAACAACAAAGTCTCCAATGGAGACGTTACTGGGCCCGCTCGAGCAAATCGATGATCAACGGGAGGGCCTACTAATGACCTTGACAGGGCAAGCTGGGTCTTTTGATGAAACACCCCCAGATATTTCTTGTTCTCACTACGTGACACTCTGGGCACTTAAGTTTCTGATTCAGCCAGTGGGGTTAATACCAGGTGGGAGGAAATTCTAATCCATGAGCTCAGAAATGCCGAGCTCTCAGTTCATCAAATAAATACCATTATAGTTTCCACTTCAAAGAGTACAAGATTTGTTTTATGTTTTGTTTTGGGGCTACACCCAACGATGTACAGGATTTAGTCCTGGCTCTGCTCTCAGGGATCACTCCTGTTGGGGCTCAGGGAACCACATGGGGGCCGGGGATCAAATCCTAGGTCAGCTGCATGCCAGGCAAGTGCCCTACCCACTGTACTATCTCTCCAATCCCAAAGAGTAAAATAATATGCTGCTGACAAAAATGCCCACTGGAGTTGTGAGTAGCATTGAATAAAAAACCAAACAAACCCATAGGACATGTCCTAGATCAGTCTGGGAGAAATTCATGTAAACCTTGCACCAACCCTTTCCTGTTCATGCGTGTTGAGATGCCATGTCTGACTGAGCCATGAAGTTTACTGGATGTGCAGCATGTGAGGCCACCCCTTCCCTTCTCCCCAGAGCAACCTCAGCTGGAATTCCTGTCCAGTCGAACTGGAGGGAGCTTGGGTCGCCGGGCCAGGCCCTTCCCCTCTCTGGAGAGAGAATAGGCAATTCTTACCTAGCATCCATCTGGGCTTTCATGCCCAGGCTGGCGTGGGAGTGTTCTGCCATCTTGGGAAGGCCGCTGGTTCCACTGGTGAAATAGATGGCTGCTGGTTCCTGACTTCCCGTCTCCACACAGTGGTGAGTGGCGGAGGCCCCTCTGACAGAGACACAGAGTGCCATCTTCTGTGGATTCTTCTCCTCCCGCCTCCCCCAACCCCCCCTGCTGGCCCAGGCAAGTCAGCCTTCTCACACCAGGAAGGAGGCTGAGGAGTGAAGACCATCCCAGACTTCCGAGTCAGTCAGACATGGGCTTGAGGCACCTGCACTGCTGAGCTACGTCACTCTGGACCATGTCTCTCACTCCTCTGCATCTTAGATTCTGTATCTCTGACATGGGATCAGTCTCAAAACCTGTCTCAAGCTGGGAAGCTTAGCTCAGGGGTCAGAAACATATGGCTTGTATGTGCAAGGACCCTAGTTCAATCTCTGGTACCGTGTGGCCCCTTGGACAGCACCAGGCGTAGGTCTGGAAGCCCCTACTCATAAGTGCGATGGTTCTGGTACTCTCCAAGCACCTCTTGGACCAAGTATCAAACTGCCTAGCCCAGTTCACTGAGTATCACTGGGGGTGGTCTTTGGCTCCTGGAAGCTCCCTCCCTTCCAGAAAGCTCTGTAAGACTTCTGGGAATATGCAAAAAAGCACAGTAGAAATGACATCTGCATCTGAATGTTCATTGCAGTACTGTTCACAATAGCCAGAATCTGGAAACAACCCACGTGCCCAAGAACAGATGACTGGTTAAAGAAACTTTGGTACATCTGCATGATGGAATACTATACAGTTGTTAGGAAAGATGAAGTCATGAAATTTGCTCATAAGTGGATGGTCATGGAGAATATCATTTTGAGTGAAATGAGTCAGAAAGAAAGGGACAGACATAGAAGGACTGCACTCATTTGAGTAATATAAAATAACATAATAGGAGACGACACCCAAGGGTAATAGAGACAAGGGCCAAGAATATTGTTCCATGGTTAGAAGTCTTCCTGGTGAGCTGTGGGAGAAGGCGGCTGGAATAGTGAAGGGATCACTAAGTCAATGATGGTTGGAGGGATTGCTCAGGATGGGAGATGTCTGCTGAAAGTAGATAAGGGACCAAATGTGATAGCCTCTCAGTATCTGTATTGCAAATCAAAAGTAGAGAGAAAGTATGGGAGAAATTGTCTGCCATAAAGGCAGGAGGAGGGTTGGGATGGTTGGGAGTGGGATTCTGGGGACATTGGTGGTGGAGAATGGGCACTGGTGGAGGGATGTGTGTTTGATCATTGTACGACTGAAACTCAAACACAAAAGCTTTGTAACTACATCTCACAGTGATTCAAAATATATATGTATGTATGTATGTATATATATATATATAAAACAGAAAGCTCAGTCATAATGGCCTCATCCAGTGAATGACAAATTTAATTACAGCACAAAGAGAAGGAGCGAGAAGGCAATGAATGCTGACGTGATGTTCTTGGGCGTCCTGGTCTGATACCCACTGAACAGGAAGTGCTCTCTCACTCTGAGTTTTCCCAGTCCAACCTCTGCTGTGCTCCTGCTGTCTCTGGGCCTCTCTACTACTCTGTGCATGTCTGAAATCTGCTTTCTCAGGGTCTTTCTTTGAGCTGCCTTCCACTTCACATTGTTAGAAGAAGCTCATGTGCTCCCTGCGCTCTCTGAGGGTTGGTGGGAGTGGGATGGGGGTGTCTTCGTCCCTAGTGTGGAGGCCTCAGATCTCAGGGGGACAGTTCTTCCTGCCAGCCCTGCTAGTGATCACTGGAAGTGCAGTGTAGCCTTTTGTCTCGGAGGAACTAGTACCCACCAGTGGGAAGTTGGGGGACCTCAGGAACTCAGCCCATCAGCCGTCGCCTAGGTTCATGACATCACCTCTGATGCCAGCCATGGTGGCAATGATCATCTCTGAGTGGATTTCAACCCATCTGGTGCTGACAATACATTGCTTTGAGAATGTGCCAGGGTGTGACCCCCAGGATCTCTCTCTCTCTCTCTCTCTCTCTCTCTCTCTCTCTCTCTCTCTCTCTCTCTCTTTGCCTTTTGGGTCACATCCGATGATGCTCAGGGGTTACTCCTGGCTCTGCACTCAAGAATTACTCCTGGCAGTACTCAGGGGACCATATGGTATGCTGGGAACCAAACCCGGGTCAGCTGCATGCAAGGCAAACGCCCTCCCAGCTGTGCTACCGCTCCAGACCTCCTTTAGACGATTCTGACAGATGAACCCACTTAGCCCTGGCAGAGAGTCTCTAACAAACTCCTTGACTGAGCCGACTGAGTATCTCCTCCATCACCCCGTCTTCACCTGGCCTTTCTCAGGAAAACTCCTGCTTGTTAGGAGGGGTCGATGAGGGCTGGGGCGCAGGGAAGGACGGGCCGGTGCTCACCGAAGCAGAGTCTTAAAGTCCAACCAGCCGTCCCGCTTCTGCTCCGACACCAGCAGCTTTATCTTGAGGGCGGGGCACTCGGGAGCCACCGTGTCCACCGCCTGGACCACTTCATCCCCAGCCACGATGGCCCGGGCCTTGGACGCCTGCAGCCGGTACAGAATGTCCTTGGCTCTCATCTGGACAGTCCCTGGCATGAAGACGAGGCCTGGAGAAGCCAAACAGTTCGGAGCCAGTAGGGGAGGCTTTGCCCTCCTCCTTGGGGAGCCCTGGTGGAAACAGCCGGCGGGGAGCTCCGGGTTGAGGTCTGCCAGGAGGAGTATCGAGGGCAGGGGCTCCAGGAATGCAGACCCCTGGATTGCCAGAGCTGCTGGGGGTGGGGGGCTACAGGGACTAGGGCTGCCCGATGCCACAACACCGACAACCCATTAATTCAAACACCCAAATGCACTCAGACAAAAGACCTGTGGGTCTTGGCCGCAGCCCGGCTCTCCGATGGCAATGAACACACAAAGGCAATGCGCTTGGGCTTGCAAACCAAGGTGCCCCATCCAGGGATGACAGGGCCGCCCTGACTTCCTGCAGCTAATGAGCAACCTGAGACTTTCTCAGGATTTTTTGCTTCCTCCTGGCTCATGCACTCAGGAATTACTCCTGGTGGTGCACGGGGGACTCTATGGGATGCTGGGAATTGAACCCAGGTCAGCCGTGTGCAAAGCAAATGCCCTCCCCGCTGTGCTATCACTCCCTCTCATTGGGAGATTCCTGTGGTTGCCTTTTGGCCTCCTGGAGAATCACTGGCCTTTGGGGAAGCTGATTCCACGAGCCTCTCCTGGGGCAGCGCCTCTCTCCCTGGCTCCCGTCCCCCTACCTTGGGGTCCACTGCCCTCCTTCCCTTCTCCCAGCTCTCCCAACGCTCCTTTCTCTCCTGGCCTGCTCACTCCTTCCATGGGCTGAGAGCTGAGTGCCCGAGACACATCTGCCTTTCTCAGCGTTAGCTATCTCCGGCCTAGCGCTTTGCATGCAGGACTGACTCTGCGATTGCTGGAAGTTGGGAGTTGGGAGGTAGCTCTTCTCTGGCATTCCCATCCCATCACCCACCTGTTCGCATGCAGCCCAGAGTCACCAGCCACCACTCGGGCACTCGAGGGAGCACCAAGGCCACCCGGTCCCCACGCTGCAGGCCACATGTGCCCGTGAGGACATTGGCCACCTGCTGGCTGATTTCACTCAGCTGGCTGAAGTTCCACTTCACTTCCTGCCCCTCACCATTGACCCACCACAGGGCAGGGTTGGGTGCTCGCTTGCCAGCCTGCAACCAAAGAGGGGTACTGAGCAGGGCAGGGCAAAGCCACCTCCACGTGCAGAAGCTTGTGAAGCCCGGGACTCATCTAGGGCTGTACAAAGTAATACTCAGAATTCAAAAGAGTATGTTTTAAAAAAATTATTTGCATAAGTTCTGTTACCATTTCCTGTTTAGAAGTCAGATTTGAGAAATGGTTCCAACCCGACATATTTTTTTAAGAGCCAAAATTATTATTTATTTCTTGCATTTGAAGTATTCCTCAATGCCATCCTTAGCCTGGGATTCTTTGCCATAATCCTTAACCACAACACACTTTACTGGGTTTCCCTTCTCTGTCAATTTTACAGAGGCTAACCCATCCTTATTTTTTTTTCTTTTTGGGTCACACCTGGTGATGCTCAGGGGTTACTCCTAGCTTTGCACTCAGGAATTACTCCTGGCGGTGCTCAGGGACCATATGGGATGCTGGGAATCAAACCCAGGTTGGCTGCGTGCAAGGCAGTCACCCTACCCGCTGTACTATGGCTCCAGCCCCAACTCATTTCTATGTTTTAAAAATAATAGTGACCCCATTATGTATCACCCTGGATAAGAGGTTTCAGTCAAGAGGTAGGTTTGCTTTCAGAAACAGAGGCAGTTGGCTTGAGACCTATTACAGAGATTAAGGCAGTGGGGGGTGGGGCGGGGCGGGGGATGCACCACCAGGAGTGATTCTCTGAGCACAGAGCCAGGAACACTGATGGGGGTGTCCCCAATGCCCCAAACTGGTGAGAATAATGCCATAAGGACATGCAACTTTTTGAGAAGACTGACTGTGGCCAGTGCTGAATTTGTCTCTTTGTTGGAGGGCTGGGGATGGTGGTGAGAGGTTGGGCTACCACACCAGGTGCTACTCAGGGTTTACTCCCGGCTTTGTGCTCAGAGATCACTACTTGTGTTGCTCAGATGACCCTGTGTGGTACAGGGGACTGAACTGGGGTTAGCTGCAGGCAGGGCCAATACTTGTTGCTTCACCCTGTCTTATCACTGATGACTCTTTGATTACACTCAAGCATAGGCCCTTGATGGCCCCAGTCCATTTGTCCTTGTTTCAGCCTGGGCTGTCACCAAAGAGCAGAATGAGCCCTGGAGGTAGCTGGCCTTCCGCCAGTCCTATGTCAGCCAAGCCCAGGTTCTCAGGCTCCTGCTTCCTGCGTTGTGTTCATTGGTTCCCATAGCCGGGCACCTCCTATGTGCTCTGGAGACTTAGATGATGATGGGGTGAGTGGGTGGATCCCTGACCTCAGCCTGTCCAGCTCCCCGCCTCTCCCGAACCCTTACCTTCTCCATGCCTGCCCAGTGATCCATCACATCACGAACAAAGTTGAACTTGTCAGGGACTTCCTGGCGGCCCCACTGCAGAGAGGCCCATCGTCGGCCATAAAGGAGGACAGCATGCCTCCGGGGCCTCCACAGGGTGCACACCTCCCGCAGTTTCCCCGACCAGCGCATGGCCAGGCAGACCTGTGAGAAGAGAGTTGGGAGGTGCAAGGTCTCGGGAAATCTGGGGCTGTGATGATAAATGCGTTGGTGTTCTGCGTTCATTTCCATTTCCTTCTTCTCCCAAAACAGAGCACCCCTTCTAGATGGTCTCTCTCCAGCGCTTCCGGTAATTTGGGAACATCTGATTCCCTATAATACACTCCTTCGGCTCAAGACATAGCGACATATTGGATTGGATGGTTGTTGCTAAATCATGACCTCCCTTACCCCTTCTGTAGATGTCCCTGTTCATTTTTTCCTGCTGGTGACAGTGGTTCGTCACCTCCCCTGGACTTGGACTTGCTTGTGGGCAATGCTTTCATCAGGGAGGCTTGGCTAGGTGTGCTAGGTGATTGGTCATAAGATTTTACCTTTTTGTATTTGTTTGTTTTTGTCCCCAGGCACACCCAGTGGTGCTCAGGGGTTACTCCTGACTCTGCACTCAGGTATCATCCCTGGGTGGGTTGTGTGCAAGGCAAGCACGCCCTACCCACTATACTATGTCTCCAGCCCAGAAACTAATGAAAAACACATGCGAAGTTGAAGTGAACCCAGCACAGACCCATGGAGAAACGAACTGCATGATTAGACGAGATGCTTATAACTACAGTCAAAGCTAAGCCAACGAGCTTCTATTTTCTTCAACCAGACTTGGGGAGAAACTCCAAAATCCTTAGCACCTAGTGCATAGACACGAATGAAGCCCTGCAGAATTCCCATCTCTGGTCATTACTGTTTTCAGCTCTGCATTAGCTCCTGGGAAAATAGTTACCAGGTTGTATAAGAGGATGTCTCCAGAAGCACCTTCATGATAATGCAGAACTTCAATCAACTGACGTTTGATTCAAGGAAATCCAGTCAGACATCCAGCCCAGACTGGATACCCCCCACCCCAGTAACCAGAATGTTCTAGGTGTTTGACACTTGTAAGAAAATTCCTTGCCGGCCCTTGGGCGGCAATGTCAGCCCCCTTGCACCTGGCGGGTCCACTTTCTTTCCAGCCCTGATTCTTTCTTATTCTAATTCACCTTCAGAGGGAAGCTTCCTTCCTAGCCTGTCCCTGCTCAGCGTCTGCCCTTCACTGCCCTGCTTCCAGCCACTCTTAACCATTCCCTGTTGCTGAGCAAGCGGCCAGCTTCCCTCCCCACAGTCCAGCAGACACCCCCCTCCCCTCACCCTTGGTCCTAGGCATTGCAAAAATCACTTTTCTTGGGGATTTTACTCCCCTTCTTCTTTCAGGCTGGAGCGATAGCACAGTGGGTAGGGCATTTGCCTTGCACATGGCCAACCCAGTTTCGATTCCGCCGTCCCTCTCGGAGAGCCCGGCAAGCTACCGAAGAGTATCCTGCCCACACAGCAGAGCCTGGCAAGCTCCCCGTGGCATATTCGATATGTCAAAAACAGTAACAACAAGTCTCACAATGGAGCCGTTACTGGTGCCCGCTCGAGCAATGCATGAACACCAGGAGGACAGTGCTACAGTGCAGTGCTCTTCTTTCCAGTTCTGACTTCTTAGAGATTGGCCCATGGCATCACGAGGCATGGTTTCCTGGATTCAATCCTCATGCCCTGCTCACCTGCCAAGTATTTTCCGAGGGTCTCTGAGGATCTCTTGGCTTAAGCTCCTCCCAAGAAGACCATCTTCAATCTTGAATCCATCCCAAATGAATCAAGAATGAAGAAGAGACCTCTTGTAAACCCTCTTCCCTTCCAGAAGTTCCTGGCTTATCATTAACCGTGAGCCACTCCAAAGTGTTCTTCCTGGGGGTACAGCCTGTTTCCCTTGCTGTGCTTATTATGAACCACACGGCCCAAGACGCAGGGGGTCCAGTTGGAGCTGTTCTTGGAGTCCAAGGAGTGAAAAGTCCATTTAGACATTAAGTCGATCACAAGTTCTTACTCCAAGCAGGGTGCTTGGGATGGTCTTGGGGTATCTGCTCTCTCCTCGAACCCTTGTCCTTTTCCTCACCCCTCTTTTCCTCTCGCTCTCTTGATGATTGCTCCCCAACTCCTTCATCCAAATCCATGCCACAACTGACCTCCTCTAGGGCCATGGCTGGGTACCCGAGTGTTGCCTGCGACTGCCCCCCAAGCCAGCCTCTGCCCCAGCCATGTGTCTCCAGCCTAAGTCTCTCTCTGGAATCCTAATCTCCTGGGATTTAGTCCTTTGGGTGTCTATTTCAGAACACTCCAATCCTCCCCCATTTTTTTGCTCTTTTGGGTCACATCCAGCGATGCCCAGGGGTTACTCCTGGCTCTGAACTCAGGAATTACTCCTGGAGGTGCTCAGGGATGTGCTATGGGATGCTGGGAATCGAACCCGAGTTTGCTGCATGCAAGGCAAATGCCCTACCCGTTGTGCTGTTGCTCCAGCCCCCACTCTAACCCCTTTTCACCTGCGTATCCACACCTGTATCCATATCCATCCATAGACCAGCAGTGTAGACCAGTGGTTTTCAGTGACTCGACACCTGCAGACTGGCAGTTGAAGACCCTGGGCCGAATTTGGAACACATCCTGCAAGTTTTTATCCCAAGTGGAGGCCTGGTACCCTTCACTCTGCCAGTCACCCCACCCACCCGCCATCTGGGCCACATTCGTGAACCGCAACTGTATTCTTCTGGCGCCTCTGTTGTCTTTGTGTTTCACACCTTGAAAGTGACACATAGGGTCAGTGCCACCTCAACCCTCATCCAGAATTCTCTGACACTATCCTCTCCCCAGGAGACGACTGTCATGGTCTCTCACGGGGCTTCCCTACTCTTGGTCTCAACCATCCCCGGCCCCCAAGCGTGGTCTAGTCTCAACACAGCAGCCAAAGCGAGCAAGAATGAAAGCTCCCCTCAGACCATGGCTGCTCTGAGAAGCCCAAGTCCTTCCTCTTCCCTACGAGGCCTGGCATGACGTGATCCCCTGCAGGCCTTTACCTCAGTGATGGCCCCTCTGAGAACCCTCTGTCACCCTCCCCTGCTCCAGCCTCACAGATTTCTTTGTTGCTCTACCCACAGGTCTGATCCCAGCCTGGCTCCACCACAGGGCCCTTTGTTCCTGCTGTTTCCTCTACCTGAAAGGCTTTGTGTCCCTTTAACATTCAAGCCATGAGCTTCCTTAAAAAGTTACCACTGACTGGTGAAAGGAACTTTGGTCCATCTACACAATGGAATACTATGCAGCTGTTAGGAAAGATGAAGTCATGAAATTTGCTTTGAAGTCATGGAGAGTATCATGCTAAATGACATGAGTCAGAAAGAAAGGGACAGACATAGAAGGACTGCACTCATTTGTGGAATATAAAATAACATACTAGGAGATTGGAGCGATAGCACAATGGGTAGGGCATTTGCCTTGCACGTGGCCGACCTGGGTTTGATTCCTCCACCCCTCTCGGAGAGCCCGGCAATCTACTGAGAGTATCCCACCCGCACAGCAAAGCCTGGAAAGCTACCCCTGATGTATTCAATACGCCAAAAACAGTAACAACAAGTCTCACAATGGAGACATTACTGGTGCCCACTCGAGCAAATTGATGAACAATGGGAGGACAGCTCTATGGTGCTACTAGGAGACTGACATCCAAGGACAGTAGAGACAGGGCCAGGAAGATTTCTCCATGGTTGGCAGCCTGCCTCATGAGCTGGGGGAGAAGGCAGCTGGAATAGAGAAGGATCACTAAGACAATGATGGTTGGAGGGATCATTCGGGATGGGAGATGTGTGCTGAAAGTGGATAAAGGACCAAACGTGATAACCTCTCAGTATCTGTATTGCAAACCATAATGCTCCAAAGTAGAGAGAGAGTATGCGGGAAATTATCTGCCATAGAGGCAGGAGGAGGGTTGCGATGGCCGGGTGGAGATTCTGGGGACATTGGTGGTGGAGAATGTGCACTGGTGGAGGGATCGGTGTTCGATCATTGTCTGACTGAAACTCAAATGTGAAAGCTTTGTAGCTGTATATCACAGTGATCAACTAAAAAAAAAGTTATAACCTTCTGGGGCCAAGGGAATGGCTCCTGGTGGGGTGCAGGCCCTGCATAGCAAGGAACCCAGTTGATCCCAAGCCCACATGGCCCCTGGGCACTGCCACAGGTGGTCCCAGGGAACCCTAGAGGCCCCCATGCCAAGCAGTGCTCCCCTGCTGAGCCCGAGCGTGGAACCAGCCGGCTCAGTTGGCTAAACACTGCCAGAAGCGGCTCCTCGTCACTGCTCGGGACTCAGTCATTTCAAAGGTAGCTTCTCAGGGATTCCTTTCTTACACCACAATGTCACCCAATGGCCTCCCGCTGTGTTCCTGTATTTCTTCTTTGTGACACAGAGAGCCGGATGCCGGTCCCCGGACAGACCCGAGATGAGAATCTCATGAGGTGGATGAGAATCTTGCGGAAGGCAGCCAAGTGGCTTCAAGGCCCTGTATGGGACTTAGGGAAGTGGGGAGGGGAGGCCGGGCTCTCCAGAGGAAGCAGGTAGGAAAGGCGAGGACTTGGCCTTCTGGGTGAGGAGCGTGTGCTGGGACCTCATGCTCTCTCAGAATTTACGCTTTTTTGTTTCATTTTGTATCGATAATCTCCTTTTTCTGAACAAATGTCTTCTGGTTTTTCAGTTCTAGCAGTCCACGGTTTCTTCTGTTTAGCGGTGACTGCAAGCTAGAGGGGATGAGCAGCCTGGGGGTGGCTCAGGACACCTGTCTGCCTGCACTCTGGGAGCAGGCCCTGCCTCAGGGCCTTTGCACTTGCTGCTGCTGACACAACTTCTCCCAGGTACCTGTCTCCACCATCAGCTCATGGTCAAAGATTATCACCTGCTCAACAGAAGGTTGAGCTGCTGCTCCCAAGAAGGTGCTTAAAATTGGGAGCTCCCTCCCAAGGAGTTCTCTGCATCCCCCACGCCCAAACCCAGGGTCTGTATTTCCTTCTACTTGTCACTTTCATACATATTCTAGAATTTACTTTTTCTCTGTCTCTTTCCTTGCAGA